CGTGATTAGTTTGCATCTTTACTTTGCTGTATTTATGCAATGTATATTTTGAGTCTGTGGCATTGGAACTGAATAAAATAATGATTTAAGACTGCTATTTCATTCTTCTGAAAAGTGTGAACTCGTTCAAGACTTGTAGAAAGTTGACCACAACTCATGCATTTGAGAACAGGCATCAATTTAACTGCATTATTCTTGAAAATTAGGAATGGAAGTTCCACTTTTGAACAAGAAGCATTGGCCACTGATGCTTTAATCAAATGCACTAGGTCACCCCCTTGAACAGTTCCTATTGTTATTTATCCATCATGACATCCATCAAAAGTTTTTGCTTCTTTTTTTTCATTAATATATGTTTTCCTATTTTCTTTTACATCTTGTATGATCCATTTAATTTAATTTAATTTTTTTTTAGGTACAAGTGATCCTGCAAATAGTGTCCAAGAAGGTTATGTGTTTCCGTTGGTGCTGGGTGAAATGAAGGATGCAAGTTTACCACTGCCGAGTGCAGCTATATTGCCTTCTCCCATCTTGCTATGGAGGTTTAAGGTCTGATATTTTAGTGTCTGTTTGGTCCTTACTCCTCATGTAACATACTTATTGTATTGTAAGCTTGGCCTTTAAATTTTTCATACTCACCCTGAATAAACTTTAATTTATGAACTTTTTTTTAATAAATTTTTTCAATTTTTGATTGGATTTCGGGTTATATTGTTTTTGCTGTGGGGCTTCATTTGTTGCTTCATTTGTTGCAAGGTCAATTTAATTTTGTTTCTCACATTTTAACTCTCCAGTATTCTTGATCACTTTGTCATTTTAAATTTGGTAATTCTTTTTTTGAATAGATTGGATGGGATTCAGTCATGAGAATGAGTGCAGACTTACAGGATTTGTTCTTATATGAGGCCTTCTTGTACCATAACCCCCTTCTTCTTGTGGTCGGTAGACAATTATCTCTTTGGGCGCTTTTATTACTCTTTGATACCAAATGCATATGGACTCTTATTTGTTAGTTGTGTTATTGCAAACAATGATGGTTTAGCTCTGGGGAGTGAGCTTATGGGTTTTCTCACAGGGCAGTGTTAATTATGCAAAAATTTTTTATCTTAATCAAAATCATCTTACTCACAAAGATATATGGAAGGTACTCATGCAAAATGCACCTATTGTCAATTGGACTTTTTTTGGAAGCAGCAGCAGCAGCTTGAACTTTGTCAATAATTTTATTTCTAATTATTGTGTAGGAAATTTGACTTTATTTTTTACCATCTTCCTCAAGTCTTGGACTCTGTTTTTTGTTTTTTTGATGATTTTTATGTGCATATGAGAATATCCACTCAAATTTAGTAAAATTTCTAATCCATCTCTATCTTTTATATGCAGCGTAGCATTTGGATGACCATTATTGTCCCAACTAGCGTGATAGCATATCTTTATCTCTATTCCCATGGAGAAGTATCATTGGCTGCATCACAACCAGTGTAGCATCTGTCCTGCCCATTATACAATTTTGTTGCATTATTTTTGCAACTGTTAAACTTTATTGTACCCATTCCACTTTATTGTATCATTGGCTAAGGTATGAAGCTGCATCATTTTTCGGTCCTTTGTTTTTGGTATATTTAATTGAAAAGCTATAGCTAGGGACATATTTAGGAATGGTGTTGTGAATCTGCATGGTCCTGGAGAAGCTCTATTTTCCTACATTTTAGATTCAGATAGATTGTATGGCATGGAAAGTACCAGCTTTCCTACTCTTTCAAACTTTTCTATCCTAGGCTAAAGCTACGATATTCGAATCATTCAGTTCTGTGAAAGGAGCTTCATTTTATAATGCACTTACAATTGTCAATTGAGTGCAGGTATTTTCAGATTTGGGACGTTCAGTTGGCCGTATGGTTCACCGCCAGGTAATTTACTTTAAGGTTGAAGGACCTTTTCTACTGTTATTTTTCCGAGGTTAAGCAAGTTCAAGTTTGGTTGCTTAATAAAACTGCACTTTTAATTGCCAACTGATTGAAACTGAAGCAGTCACTGTCCCCTGATCGATTAAAACTCTTTTGGGTTTCAATCCTTAATAGCTGCTAGCAATGTTGCCCCTTCATTCTGTTGATCTCTCTCTCCTTTTTAGTTGAATTGAAGTTAAATCCTTAAAATATGGTAATTTCACAGAAGATTCAAAGCTTGACAAAGAACCCCATTCTCGATGAGTTGCAGATCTTAAAAGGACGAAGAGGGGAGGAAGACGAAGACGATAGAAACTGTAAAGTGAAATAATATTACCCCAGATCCCTAAATCCCCAATTTGATTTTCCTAAACCATTTAAGGGTATAAAAGTAATTTTGTTTGATCGGCTGATTTTGAGGTATTTGTCCAGGTGTGCCTCCACCTCAGCATCCATCTCAACAACAAAAAGGCCACGTCAGACACAGAGGAAGGGCTTATGAGCAAACTGTTAAATGTTAACGAAAGCCTTAACAGAGGGGCTGATTTGCCACTGCAGGGAAGTTGAGGGGGTGATTTGCGCGTGAAGTGAGTTGAGGGGGTGATTTGCCACCAGTTGTGGAGTTGAGGGGGTGATCTGCACCTTTTGCCATTTGTGGACATGTAAATGAGGTTTTCGCACGCACTAGCACCCCCAACGCGTTTGCAATTCTGGTGTCTACAACATAAGGTCCAGTCCAGCTTTG